CAGAATCGTAAGCATGGGTTCTCAGTAAGAGAAATCGAAGAAATTGAATTTCGTCGATTACAGCGCCATCTATCATGAATCGAGAAAAATGTTTCAGACAAATTGTATGTGTTTTTAGCCAAAGATTCCGAATATGCAATAAAAAATAGGGGTTCCCATTTAAGATTTCAAACTTGCCCCCCCTCACCGCCCAGGGGGAGGGGTGGGGGGGCTAATTTTAACGTCATTGTACGTCCCCCTCGAAATGACGAAATTTTGATTCTAAACATTTTTTCGTAGTGTGCTTATTTTTCGAGTTATTTGGCTGTCTAAGTTAAAATGGGTCACCCTGTATATATATATATAATATTATTAATTAATATTATTCAAATTGTTCGTACAATATTTGTAATGTGGATACTCGCAATATATGAGTAATACGGGTACTTTGGTGATACGGTCCGAATATCGGAATATTACTTGTATATATTTCAGATAGTACTTGGGTAATCGGGTAATTGATTTCCCGATCCGAATCATCAGACCTAGTATCTTCCTGTTTGAAAAGAATTCAAGATAGGGACAGTAAATGGTACTGTAGATCAGTTATCTATTCAGACATATGTATATAGCGACGATTGTTAAGACACAATATCTTCTCATTTAGAATTTTTATATATCTCCGTATTTATAAAACACATCGAAAAGAAATGTGTCTACATTTTTTATCGATGTCTGGTTAATAATTTATAGCAAAAATACCTGCCAAATTTTCGTATCATATTACATTTCCTGATTATTCAGTTCATTAACGTTCCATGCCGTGTGTACCACTGCGGTGATTGTTCTAAATTTCATTAACTCTCATTAAAAAAAGGAACAAAATTAGTTCAAATCTCGAGACTATAGGTTTTCAGGTTAACACAAGAAATTTTATTTGACTCTACTGTACACTGGTAACACATGCTCAACTTTCCATTCAGGTTGTTTGATATTTTGAAAAAGATACATTATTTAAAATATTTCATATCATCCGTTGATATATAAATTTGTTTTGTTTTACATTGCATCCTGTATGTTTCTTCTTTATTTTGATAAAAAAAACATTTTTCAATCTTAAATTTATTATAAAATATAAATTTTGAACTCATATAATATATAAATATGCCAGCATAAGCCACGCGGTACACGCGGCTTGAAGGAAAAGTCGTGCAAAAACGACTCAGTATGGAACATGTTAGATATTTCTAAATGGCAAATCAGAGTTTTATATATGCTTCATATATCTTACATTAAATATTAATATTTATGAGGTCTTATCAGATGGACAAGTTATGTTGTAGTTGCAGTTACTTTATTAGTGTTATTTTGTCTATATGTTTATATAGATATTGCATTAATGATATTATATTTTATATTTTGTACTGCAACAAAATTTTTACGTATACAAAATCTGATTTTTTTTTAATTGATATATGGGCTATATAGTAGAGACAGTATTTATAAGTAATTATAACAATTAAAAGCGATAGCATCTTTTGAACATTGATATCAATAAGATTATTTTGTTAGTGCAATTTATCAATCAGAAGTCATATATTTAAGTGCGTGATTTTAATTATATGTTGATTATTAATACTTATTTAACAACTTACCGATAAATATAAAATATTTAAAGGAAATATTAGCTGAATAGAGTTGTATGGATAGAGTCTTAAAGAAGACTTCGACTATATATATAGAAAGATCATAGTTAAACAAAGTAAATTATGCTTAATAATCTACAATAATTAAGCACTTTATACTTTGTTTGTGAGTACTATATAGTACTCAAATTCTGAGTTTTTTTTAACAACCTATATAGATTGTTTATTAAGATATAAATAAGTAATCAATCAATAATGTGTGCTTAAAAAATAGACATTCATAGATATTGATAGAAACGGATTGATAAACTATATATTTTTTTGTTTTTTTCTTTTACTATCATAATTTTTCTCATTAAAAACAAGAAACATAAGGTTAAAATGGAAATATACATTGACACATTCATATAGTCACACATATAATAAAATCTTGCTATTATGAAGTATATTATATAGTAATACAGCATATTACAAAATATTTCTGTTATAGCTAAAAATGTTAGCACTTAAAAATGTGATAGTTATAATAATATTGTACAGATTATATCTTGAATAATTACATTAACTATGTCTACATTAAGAGTTATGTAATAATAATAAATATTTTGCTAAAGTTTCTATTATTTCTGCAATAAATTATTTTTGCATAGACTGTCTGATACATCGCATATGAGATATTCTGTACATAAAATTATAAATAATATACTTCATAATATGTGTGTATATAAAATTATAAGGAACTTTGCATCTCATAACAATTTATTTTATATGCACTAATGATTCTGTATAGAATTCAAGTATTAATACCCAATAACCAATATAAATTCCATAGATATTAAGAACAAGGTTTGAATAGTCAGATTTATTTTGAGGCCTCTGAGTTTATTCGCGTTGGTTTTGTTTGATGACGTCAAAAGAGAAATTACATGCCCATGATTTTTGCATTATACGTTGAGATAAAAAGATGTATCCATAAAACGGCGTGTAATCGATTCAGAAAATTTGTAAAATATTCCAAACGCTTTCCTTTTGCTGTTAAAATCAACATAGCTATAAAATTAGCGTAACACACAACTGAAGTTTTAATCAAACTTTTCTCATCATTTTTTGAATTTATATTAATTTTATGGCTATTTATTTGTGACTCTGTGACAGCGAAAAGAGAGTGTTCAGAGCATTTTACAAATTTGCTGAATCGACTATCGTTACATGGATATATCGTTATATGGATATATCTTTTTATTTTAACGTATAATCATGGGCATGCAATTTCTCTGACATCTCGCTTCTGACATCATCAAACAAGGACAGCCTAAACGAGTACCTAGAGACCTTAATTGTTTCTATATAATAGTAATAATTATATTGTAAAACAATTCTTTTAAAAGCTCAAGAAGTATAGCAAGTACAATACAGTGTTGAATACAGATATATACTTATATTATAAAAACACATAATTTTGCAATCATAGTACGCTTAGCCAATGCAATAAATGGACAAACAAAATTCATATTAATTATTGTGCATGTATGCTTCTCATTGTAGAAAAATGTTAAGTAAATTGAAAGTTACCTATTGATCATAATTTATGTTTACAATATTACATCTTACTGATATATAAATAAAAAGTCACAACTATTAAGTAAAATTTTAGTTGGAGAGAGGAAAATTATTTTTTTTAAGCTAGTAGTAATGTAAAAGATGTAAAATTGACTTTATGCTTGCTACCTTGTGCGAATAAAACTTATAAATTCTAGTTTTTTTCACATACACACACATATACACACACACACACACACACATATTTATATATAGTACCAGTGTTCTATAATCACGAATATCAAACTTCAATATGTAGCGGAACTTACTAAATAATAATAGTGATAAGCTGTGATAATATCATATGTAAAATATATTAAAGGCTATGAAATAAAATAAATTCCAATAAAAAGCTTGTCTTTGTTTTTTTTAATTATACGTAAAGGATGCTTAAAATATTAAAATACTATTTTTTTAAAATAACGTTTAAGATTAAAAAATAAAAACGTAGATTATAACTAGGTATTTGATTGTGGGAATGATTCGGAGAAATAATTTTTATTATATTATTTTTTAAGATAATTACTCAAGTATGTATGAGAAATACATGTTACTAATTAAGTTGAATATTGTACTCATTACTGTAATTATATATATAGGTATACAAATACAACAGAACTTAAAATATAGTTCAACATGATTTACTAATTAGAATTTGTATGTTTTGTCCTTGAAGTTGATTTCGTCTGTGCATTAATATTACCTGTTGCCA